ATTTCCATTTCTCTGATAGCTAATGGGGGTACACATCTTTTTAAGTGCTTCTTTGCCATTCCTTTATCCTCTTTGATAAAGTGGCTTTCACGTGTTTTGCCCATTTTCTAATTGGACTGTTTGTTTTCTTATTGCTGAGTTTAGATAATTAATTATCCTCTGGTCAGAAGTCCTTTATCAGATATGTGATTTGCAAATACCATCTCCCAGTTTATGGCTTTTCTTTTATCTCTTAACAAGGTGTTTTGCAGTGCAAAAGTGTGTGTGTGCTTCAGTTTTGCCAAGTTTAATTTGTCATATCTTTCTTTTATGGATCATGCCTTTGCTGTCATGTCTAAGAACTCTTTACATATGCCTAGGTCAAGAATATTTTCTCCTATGACTTCTTCTAAAAATATTGTAAGTTTATGTTATTTTATGTTATTTATTTATTTTAAAGATTTTATTTATTTGAGAAAGAGAGAACATGAAGCAGGGGGAGGGGCAGAGGAAAAGTGAGAGGGACAAGCAGACTCCCTGCTGAGCACAGAGTGGGGGTGGGGAGAGCTCCATCCCAGGACCCTGAGATCATGACCTGAGCTGAAGTCAGATGCTTAACTAACTAAGCCATCCAGGTGTCCCGTTTTATATTCAGATCTACAGTGCATTTAGGTGTTAGATTTAGGTGTCATTGCTTTTGTCCGTGAATGCCCAATTATTACCATACCATCTGTTGGAAAATCTGTCCTTCTTTTGTGGAATTACTTTTTCACCTTTGTCAAAATTGAGCTGGTATACTTGTGTAGCTCCGTATATGGAATCTCTATTCCGTTCCACTGGTCTAAGTTTCTATCTTTTGCCAATACCATGCTGTCTTGACTAATTGCTGTTGTATATTAAGTCCTAAAATTGAGACTTAACTTTTGTATGGCTACAGAAAATCGTATTTGGATTTTGGTAGGAATTTCATTAAACCTATGGATTAATTTGGGAAGAAATGACATCTTTATTTTGATGAATCTTACAGTCAATAAATATGGTATATTGCTCTATTTAATTTGGTTTTCTTTAGTTTGTCATTATAATTTTTTATCCATCTGCATGCAGACCCTGTACACATTTTGTTAGGTGTGCACCTAAATATTTTCTTATTTTGTTTTTTTTTTAAGATTTTATTTATTTATTTGACAGAGAGAGACACAGCGAGAGAGGGAACACGAGCAGGGGGAGTGGGAGAGGGAGAAGCAGGCTTCCCATGGAGCAGGGAGCCTGATGCGGGCCTCGATCCTGGGACTCCGGGATCACTACCTGAGCTGAAGGCAGACGCTTAATGACTGAGCCACACAGGCGCCCCAATATTTTCTTATTTTGGAGTAATTGTATATGGCATTATGTTTTTAATTTGTTTACAATTTTTCATCATTAGCATATTGGATACGATTGATTTCTGTGAGTCAGGAACTTGCATTTCGCAACTTTGCAAAACTCACTTATCAGATGTGATAGGTTTTTTTTTTTTTGGTTAATTTCTTATAATTTTCTACATAAACCATTATGCCATTTGTCGACAGGGATGGTTTTGTTTCTTCCTCTCCTGTGTTTTTATTTCCTTTCCTTGCTTTATTGGGCTAGCTACGCTTTTCTAGTACTATGCTGAACAAGAGTGGAGAGAATGGATTTCTATCTCTAATTATTACACAGTGATTGGTGACACGTATTTGGATATTTATCTCTCACATCAAAGCTAATCAGCACTATGCTATCCTACTGACTTCTTTGGTGTGGCTCCAGAATCTGCCTCATGGCTGTGGTTTAGAGTAGCAATTATTAATGAGTTATAGAGTATTGTATTGGATTCCTAGAGTTGCTGTAAAAAGATACCAATATGCACGGGACGCCTGGGTGGCTCAGTCAGTTAAGTGTCTGCCTTCAGCTCAGGTCATGATCCCAGGGTCATGGGATCAAGCCCCGCATCGGGCTCCCCGCTCAGCGGGAAGCCTGCTTCTCCCTCTCCCGCTCCCCCTGCTTGTGTTCCCTCTCTTGCTGTCTCTCTCTCTCTGTCAAATAAATAAATAAAATCTTTAAAAAAAATAAAAAAGATACCAATATGCAGGTGGCTTAAAACAACCGAAATTTATTGCCTCACAGTTCTGGAGGCTTTAAGTACAAAATCAAGATTTCCCTCTGAAGCCTGTAGAAGAGAATACTTCCTTGCCTCTTCTGGGTTCTCTTGTTTTCCAGCCATCTCCAACATTCTTTTGTTTGTTGATGCAAAACCAGCCTGGACATCTTCACCCTGTGTCTCTCCTCTTTTTATAAGGACACCAGTTTTATTGGATTAAGGACCCACCCTGCTTCAGTATCTAAAGATAACTAATTACATCTATAATAATCTTATTTCCAAATAATGTCACATTTTGATGTAATGGAGATTAGGACTTCAACATATCTTTTGGGGGGACATAATTCAAGCCACAAAAAGTGTGACTTTTTTTTTTTCTACTGTCTCTCTTATCCCCTGAAGGATGCTACAGAGTTCCAGATGCTGTTTGTACTCTGCTTTGCCTTGGCCTCAGGTTGACTCCTAAGGGAAGCTAAGTGACCCACACCATTCAGTTTCTCTTCCTGAAATTTGAATTTGAATTCAACAACACTAGCTTATCTCTGTTTGTTGTTTGAATGGAGGTCACTTGAACATAGTGTATGACTGCTATCATGCCGAAGCAAAGCCAGTCTCCAGAGACGGAGGAAGAGAAACATGTGTCCTTTCAATGAAGAACACAGAGATGAGAGACCATGAAACTCTAAGACAGAGAAAGAATTCTTAAAAGGTGGAAAGATGTATGAATCTTTGACTGCTTCATACTTCTAGGTTCTAGTTCTTCAGGAAGTTCAAGACAACTCTTTTTCCTGTGTTCCATGAGTCATTTTAATAAATTACCTTACTCTGTCCAAGCTGGTTAGAAGTAGCTTATTCTTACTTGCAACAAAGTGCCTGACCAAGATACCAGGAGAAAGGGTTTCAAAAATGACAGAAAACCTCAGATGTATGTTCTCCACAAAGATGTAAATAGATATTTTATCTGAAAACAAAAAAATCCAATTGCACAGACATGGAAAAATATGTTAGTTGGAAAAAGAAATGTAGTGAAAGGAAAATTCAAAGTACAGAAAAGTGAGTTAATTGAATCAGAGTTCAGAAGTTTCCTAGAAATGAAATAATGGGATCATAGGATGTGACTAGTTTTAATACTCTCGATTCTGTTTCAAAATTGCTATGAAGAAGATTTGAACTGATTTGTGTTTCCACAAAAATATAGGAGAATGTTTATTCCACCCTACTCAACATGGAACATTCCCCAATTTTTACACTTTTTCTAATCTTGAATTAATGTTTTGTGTGTTCCCAATAAATTGCAAGCTTTTTTTGGTCTTGTCTAACAAAAATTTCTCATATTTAGGAATTGTTTCACAAATTGTATATATTTGTTGTAAATACAACAAAAATACAAAAACATTGATAAAGTATACATTCACAGCCCAGTGAATATTCACCAAGTGACCACAACTCTGGAACCAGCACTAAGACAAAGAAACAGAATATTCTCAACACCTAAGGAATTCTCTCATTTACCTGTTCTGTTACTAAACCATCCCCCAAACATAGCCACTCTTAAAAATCCCAGATCTTAAAATCCCATGCAATAAGTGTCTGGCTTTTTTCGACCAAACACTATTATATTTCTGAGAGTCATTTATGTTTTCCATGTAGTTGTAATTCATGCATCCTTAGGCATCCGAGGTATGTTTCCTTATAGAAGGTGCCACAATTTACTTATGTACTTTACTGTACATAGACATTGGGTTGTTTCCCTTTGTGACTGTTATGAATGGTGGTGACTTGAAATGTTTATGAACATAAATTTACTAAATTTTCTTCTTTTAAATTTCTTCCACTGCTTTTATGCTTCAAAATTTTTATCCATTTGGGAATTGTAAAGAGATTCATCTATAGTTTTCTAGTTATTAAAAATGATTTTATCTTAAGTATTTAACTATTAAATACATATGGAATTAGTGAGTGATATGTTATGAATACAACTAATTTTGTATCCAAACATTTAAATGATTGAACCATTTGATGACTAATCCATCTCTCATCCCTGAATCTTTAGTGCAAAGTTTGTGATCTGGTAAAGTATTAAAAAGATCCATGTGTTTACATGTGAGCTGCCTATTAATTTTGACAATCACACTGATTTTAAACCAAATAATTAAAGTTTAATTACAAGAATAAAATATTTTAATGTTTTATTGATCCTAAATTTAATTGTAGATAAAGGAAAAAATACAGTGTGCCTGGGTGGCTGAGTTGGTTAAGTGTCTGCCTTTGGCTCAGGTCATGATCTCAGGGTTCTGGGATGGGGTCCTGCATTGGGCTCCCTGCCCAGCGGGGAATTGGCTTCTCCCTCTCCCTCTGCCCTTCCTCCCTGCTCATGCTCTCTCTCTCTCTATTTCAAATAAATAAACAAAATCTTTAAAAAAAATACACACTAAGGAAACTCTCTCAAGACATTTACAATTCGTGTTGCATGAATTCTGCTTTTTTCTTTTTTATACAGGCTACCTATGCAGACTCTCTTTCAAATAATTTAATTTGTGAATTTTTTTTAAGATTTTATTTATTTATTTGACAGAGACAGCGAGAGCAGGAACACAAGCAGGGGGAGTGGGAGAGGGAGAAGCAGGCTTCCCACGGAGCAGGGAGCCTGATGTGGGACTCGATCCCAGGACCCTGGGATCATGACCTGAGCCGAAGGCAGACGCTTAACGACTGAGCCACCCAGGCGCCCTAATTTGTGAAGTTTTAAAGTGCTCATCAAAATCATGGCAACTAATCTAAGCACAATTTACTCATACAAAATTTTATAATTAACATTTGCATAAAAAGCACAAACTTATTTGTGTATTAAAGTAAGCTTCCCGTTAGTAGAGTTTTATACGATTCTTTTGCACTGATTCTAGTCCTCATTTAGATCCCAGATGAACTTCAAGGGAAAATCTTTCACTTTGCTTTGGAATATTCTGTCAAATTTTTCATTTTGCTCCACGGTCAAGTGACGTTTCCAGTCTGCAGGGGTAACTAGGAGGAGAAGCACATGAACAGCAAGTAAGTGAAGAAATAGCACTAACAGGGTAAAAGTCTCCTCCAGCCCACTTTAATCCTTCCTCCAAGTCAAGTTAAATATCTGTTAGTTCTCTGTGGGGTTTGACACTTCACTTTTCCTTATACAAGGATCAGCTCAGAAGCAAACTTAGGAATGCAATTACAGTTTTACAGTTACAGTCCACTTCCTTAACTGTTAGACTTCCACCAACCACTACCATTAAGTTATTACCTTCTAAAGTCAAAGGAAAAGCAAGACTAAAATATATAAAGAGATTAGAATTTTTAAATATATTTTACTAAGTGCCAGGTGCCATCTTGGCAAAGTACATCCATCGGGTAATATAATTCTTCATACAATCTTACAAGGTGAATATTTCTTCATTTTTAAAATGGAAAAAAAAGAGACCCAAAGATTTTCAAGTAATGAAGTCAAAGTCACAGAGGGTTCCCAGAGCAGGCACTGAGGCAGTTTTACTTCATGAACGTTTGAAATGACCTGAAGGCAGTTTTTAAATAAAGATTAATAATTTGGCATCTTCAGCTTTCCGATTTTCTTTTGTAAACATTATTATTGGCATTTAAGCCCGTCAGGAAACTATTAAGGACATGGGAATTGCTTTATATCTGATCTAGTTGAGCAATGGGAAGTGAGAGTGAATGAAGGAAACTTAAAAGCACTGTTTTGTTTCCTGGGGCACTTCTCAGGGCCATTTTGGTTGGGACTGTCGATTCTTCTTAGGGCCCCAATGATAGTACTGGGAGAGACATGTTGGAAGCACTCTTTATTTAGCTTAGGAGCCAAGGACTCAAGAGAAGTCTCAACGCTTTTTCTTCTATAAACCACTGAGCATCACCTTTGCGCAGGAAAATGCTTTCATTTACTTGTGTCTTCATTACAACTTTTAGAATATAATCATAGTTGATTTGTGGATCAGATGCCATGTTCTGAAATGTAGCCTGTTCCCCAACAGCATCCATGTCCTCTTCACTCAGTTCTTTCTCAAAAAAAAAACTGCTAAGTTTAAGCACAGCACTTCTAAGCTCCTGAAAGAATCGTAGGAGAAACTAGTCAGCGTATGAGAAATGCATGAATTACTGCCTAAAAACCTTACCACATTGTGGAAAACTGAAGGTGTGTGGGCTTATTCTAAGTCTAAAGCTCCACAAGAATGTGTTACTTCCTTGTTCCTTCTATGAAAATGATGGCTCTGGCTATCAGCTTTGTTATAGCTTCCTACTGCTTCATTTTATAAGGATAGCTCCATTTGCGCAAGAAACACTTGGAGACTCTATATGTTTCAGAGCTGTGCTATGTGCTAGAGAAGTTCAAGAGAATAATAATATGCTATTTGTGCTTGTTAAGAGTTCACAATTTCATGAGGAAAGAGTAAAGCAAGTCATTAAATATAATGGGCGCAAGGAAGAAAAGCTCAGTCTGGAGAGTTTTGCTGGTGGCTCCTGCCAGGCATTTAAAGGAGAATTAACACCAATCCTCCTCAAACTCTTCCAAAAAATTGAAGAAGAGAATAATTCCAAAATCATTTTATAAGGTCAGCATTACCCTGATACCCAAAGCGAGACAAAGACACTGGAAGAAAAGAAATCTGATTTAGGCCACTTGAATGACAGTGCAATTCACAGGAGAAGTAAATTTCTTGGAGGTGGTAAATTTTATTTTGGACATGCTTTGTTGGAAGACCAAATATTAGACATGAAAATAGGCACATACAAGACAGAAACAGTATAGATGTGCTTGAGCTGGCAATCTGGGATTCACCAACTTATTTCCCAACCTGCTCTAATCTGCTTTACTGTACTTCATTCCAGGCTTCATGTCACTAGATTTAATGGACATTTTAAACTCTTTTTCACTTGACTTTTTGGCCGCCTTAAAGATCTTTCTTAACCCACCTGCTTGGCCTCTATGTCATCACAAATTTCTCATTTTCTTTCTACTTCTCAGACTGTTCCTTTTCTGTTTCCTTGGTGAGCTCATCCCTCTCCACCCAAACTTAGTATCCTAAGGTCTCTCAGTAATAGATTCTAGTTCCCCTTCTTTTCTCTCCTCTCCTTTTCTCCCCTTGTTCCTACTTGCTTCTCCCTTTCTTCCCTCCCTTCCCATTCTCAATTTTATCCATGTTCATAGTCTCTGTTTTTTTTAAGATGTATCTATTTATTTTAGAGAGAGAGGGAGAGAGAAAGTGGGGTTTGGGGGGCTGGGGGGTAGAGGGAGGGGGAGAGAGAGAATCCCAAGCAGACTCCACACAGAGCGCAGAGACTGCCGGGCTCGATCTCACCACCTGAGCCGAAATCGAGAGTCAGATGCTTAACCAACTGCGCCCCCCCTGGCGCCCCCAGAGTCTCAATTACATTCTATACAGTGATGATGCCCAAATGAATATCTTTATTATCAATTATATTCTATACTGTGATTATGCCCAAATTAATATCACTGATATTTTAGCCCAGCTCTTCCTTGACCTTTACACCTGTTATTTTCTATTTATTTCCAAATGTCTTCATTTGGATACTTGATACTTCTAAGGCATCTTAAACTCCATGTGTCAAAACCAACCTGATAATCTTCTCCCTTAACCCTTATCTTGCTTCTGTGATCCCTAAACATCTTCACAAATGACACCATTAACTACACTGATAGATGAACCAGAAATACGGGAAGTGCCCTTGACACCTCTCTTCCTCATTTTTTCCTATGCATAATCCCTTTTGCTCTTTACCTCCTAAGTATGTTTTAGAGCTCTGCATTCTCTTTAATCTCAATGATACCATTCTAATCCAAAACACCATTGATTTTCAGTGGATTAGCTCACTGGTCTCTATCCTTCTTAGTACTCTTCAAGGACTTACTGCTTTTAAGATGAAAGAAATCACTATCAGTAACGTATCTAAAGACCTTGCACAGTCTGGCTCCCATGCACCTCTCTATCTTAATCTTTTGTCACTTCTACCTTGTTCTTTAACTTTTTCCTTCACTTCTTAAAAGATGTCTTGCACTTTAGTGCTTCAGGCGATTTGTACTTTTTTTTTTTTTGCTTAGAATTCTCTTTTACCGCTCCTCATTTTGTTAACTCATATTTGTTAGCTTGTAGTTTTCATGTTACTTTTTCCAGAAAACATTGCCTATCACTTTGACTCTACCAGTTTTCTTCATTTCATGTACTGATACTGTACCTATAGTTTTCCTTAGTATCACATATCACAGTTTTGGATTATATATACCTGCTGGTGTATACCTGTTTTCCCTGTTGAACTATAAGCTCTATAAATAAAGGGTTTAATCTTCTTTGTCTCGTGATTTAGTACCTGTCACAAGGTAGGCATTCAATAGTTTTTTAAATAAATCAATGAAGACCACACAATAGTGAACTTCAGATGCACTTTACTTGGTTTATGGAATGTTTTAAGCTACCTTTGATTGGATGCCAACATGTAAACATTATGTAAAAAAAAAAAGAAAGAAAGAAGGAAAGAACGAACTTGCATCACAGGGCATACATCCACCTCTGGTTAATTCAGCATATTTCAGGGGCTTGTCCCCTGCAGCGCTCTGCTGTGCTTTTCTCTTGTTTAAGGTGTGGTTGCTTTAGATATTTGAGTTTGCCTTTATTGCTACAGATGGTTACTTGAAAAAGAATCATAAAAGATGATTGTGTAAAGTGTTAAGAGAACCCCGAGGAAGACGAGTAATTAAAGGATGGCAGGAAAATAGAAAACCCCCAGAAAAGCCTGAGAAGTCTTTAGGTATGAAGATAACTAGAATGTAGTTCACTGAAACCAAGATAAGCAAAGGTTTCAAGGAAATAATTGACAACAGTAATACCATTTTCCTGTCACGTTCTTCATCTCCTCATACATCACGAACAGAATACTGAAGTCATGTCCGTGCCCATACCAGTGTCTGATGTGATCAGACCAAAGCCTTCCAACCACTGTGGGGAACAATTACATGATTTTAATAGAAACCTGTCTTTCCTAAGTATGTAGAAAAGGAGCAATGCAGAATAAAGAAGCCCAAAGTACTAATTTTGAAGATTTCTTTAAGGTAAGTCCACTTCTTTTCCTTACTTCTGCCTCCTGAAAACATGTCTTTATTTCTCTTCTTATTGTCTATTTTAAGATCTCTGGGTAGCAACATTAGCTATCTATAAAGCGACAGAATCTTCTAAATGAATGAGAGCCGTAACTCCACATTCCACAAGCCTCTTGCATCAATCTATCCTCCCTTGTAGTAGAGTGAAAATTCTACAGCTCTGATATAAGGCCTACCTACCACGGGTCCAGGACAGAGCATATTAACTAAACTATCCCTGAACATTAACTATTTTAAGACTCATGGATCTAGCTTTGCATCTAGGTAGTTTAAACTGCTAGACCATTTGTGGTTCTCTTACTATCCAGTCAAAATATTTCTTAAACAATATGCCTTTGCAACCCTGATAATCCCCAAAGTGGTGCTAGTGACAATGGAAAAGCCATTGAGGTACAGATTAAGTTGACAGACGCTAGTAACCACTAATGTGACTCTCACCTTCAATTATTAACCTTCTCCATCTCTGTAAAATATGTCCCCTAAGTTTGAGAATTTGGTTGAATGGCAACATTGCCTCATAAACATTTTGCCTGACAAAAAATTCATAGTTACCTTTACCATCTAGAAATCTTTCCATGAAATCTTCCATGTTATCTGAATCTTTTAATACAACCAATGATTTTGAAGAATGAAAATGTGATGTCATAACATCCTTGGGGTTTCTATAGACATAAAGATCTGCAGGGGGAAATAATAAAAAAAAATTTTTTAATGATTTTCTTTTCTTTTTTAAAGATTTTATTTATTTATTAGACAGAATGAGACAGCAAAAGAGGGAACACAAGCAGGGGGGAGTGGGAGAGGGAGAAGCAGTCTTCCTGCCGAGCAGGGACCAGGGAGCGGGATGTGGGGCTCGATCCCAGGACCCTGAGATCATGACCTGAGCCGAAGGCAGTAGCTTAATGACTGAGCCACCCAGATGCCCCATGAATAATAAAAATTTTAACAATTCCTGGTTGTTCTTACAGGTTTTATAAAACATTTGCATAGTATTTCATCATATGAATGCATGAAAATTTATTATTCATTAAAATTTAGGTTGTTCCCAATATTTGGCAATACGAAGACTGTTGCAATAACTAACTTTATTCACAAGTCATTTCACATGTGCAAGCTTGTAGGACTAACTTCCAAAAGTGAAATTACTTATTTGTAAGATTGATTAAGATTACAAATTACCCTGCATAGAAGCTGTTTCAATTTACCCTCTGTGCGCATTAAGTAACATTTGATATACAACCATTAGATAGCATTAAAGATCAGTGAAAAAAGGAAAAATTAACAGATGACATTGAAAAAAATTATTTACATATAGAAAAAAGAAAAGAAAATGGATTTCAACCTCACACCATACACAAAGATCATTTACAAATGGATTAGAATCTACATATGAAGGCAAAACTTTAACATCTAAAAAGTAAATAATATATTACTGGGCTTGGAGAAGAGAAAGATTTTCTAAACAGGAAAAATTTATTTAAAATAAAAATTGATGAATTGGACTACATTAAATTTAAGAATGTTGTTAAAATATACCATAAAGTTGCAAAAGCAATAAGAGAGAAGCAACACATACAACTAATACTAGATTAGTATCCAGAATATATGTAAAACAAATAAGAAAAAGACAACGAATTACAAACTGGGCACACGTCATAATTATTCCACAGAATAAGGAATAATTATGGTCAACAAATCTATCAAAAAGTGCTTAACCTCATTAATAATTAGGGAAATGCAAATTAAGATCAGTTTGAGAAACCATTTTATAATTGCCATATGGATAAAAATTAAGAAGTCTGATAGAAAAATTTACTAGGAGAAAAATAAGAACGGACCAGTAAAAGAATTACTGCTGTTAGCATAAGCTGGTACAACTGCTTTGTATTTAAAAAATAGCAGCATCTTATGAAGTTGAACATTTTTTTAACTTTGTGGCTTTGCAATTCTATTCTTGGGTGTATGCTCTAGGTAAACTTGTGCAGATATACACCGGGGAACATGATTAAGAATGTTCATAGCAACACGTGTTATAAGAACAAAATATTGCCGTAACCTAATTATTCAATGAAGAGAAAGCACAGATCTGATAGAATTACTTACACAACTTGTAAAATTATACCGCTTTGAAAAATGATATTGAAAATCAAGAAAAAACACAGGCGCATGGGCAAACCTCATGGAAAAAGAATACAAATGAAAATATAAAGTTAGGTAAAATTTAAAGCCAAGTGGAATTTAACAGAACAACGTATAATTCGTTTGCAATGAACAACAGAACAGGCATCTTTGTATACTGATTAATGTAATAGAAAAATTTAAAATGGCACAGATTCTAATAAGTCTATAAAGATTTTGATTTAGCAGCAATCATAGTGGGAGATTTATACACACTTACTTTAGACATGAAGATAAAAGGATTAACGACTAACCTACAAAAATATTTAACAAAATGTATTTTATATGTGTGTGTCTGTGTTAGTGCCCCACACAGAGAATACACACCATTTTCTCAGGTAGTCATGGAACATTTGAAAAATTGATCATGTAATTCACCATAAATTTCAAAAATTAGAAGTCTTATAGTACTGTTACCTATTGATAGAAGCTATAATTCTAATAATCAACAATGAAGAGGTTAAAAAAGAAAATTATTATTAAACACTTGGGGAAAACATCTTCAAAATCACTTGGACCAATTAGAAAATTAAAATCAAAATGATAGATTATTTAGATATTAACAAGATTTTATCTATAGCTATACTGAAAAAGATTTTCAGACTTGTTAATTTTAGCCATTCTGACTGGTGTGAGGTGGTATCTCATTGAGGTTTTGATTTAGATTTCCCTGATGCCAAGGGATGTTGAACAGTTTTTCATGTGTCTCTTGGCCATTTGGATGTCTTCTTTGCAGAAATGTCTGTTCAAGTCTTCTGCCCATTTCTTGATTGGATTATTTGTTCTTTGGGTGTTGAGTTTGATAAGTTCTTTATAGATTTTGGATACTAGCCCTTTATCTGCTATGTCTTTTGCAAATATCTTCTCCCATTCTGTTGGTTGTCTTTTGGTTTTGTTGACTGTTTCCTTTGCTGTGCAAAAGCTTTTTATCTTGATGAAGTCCCAACAGTTCATTTTTGCCCTTGCTTCCCTTGCCTTTGACGATGTTTCTAGGAAGAAGTTGCTGTGGCTGAGGTCGAAGAGGTTGCTGCCTGTGTTCTTCTCAAGGATTTTGATGGATCCCTGTCTCACATTTAGGTCTTTCATCCGTTTTGAGTCCATTTTTGTGTGTGGTGTAAAGAAATGGTCCAGTTTCATTCTTCTGCATGTCTCTGTCCAATTTTCTTTACACCATTTGTTGAACAGACTGTCTTTTTTCCATTGGATCTTCTTTCCTGCTCTGTCAAAGATCAGTTGACCATAGAGTTGAGGGTCCATTTCTGGGTTCCTATTCTGTTCCATTGATCTATGTGTCTGTTTTTGTGCCAGTACCATACTGTTTTGATGATGACAGCTTTGTAATAGAGCTGGAAGTCCAGAATCGTGATGCCGCCAGCTTTGCTTTTCTTTTTCAACATTCCTCTGACTATTTGGGGTCTTTTCTGGTTCCATACAAATTTTAGGATTATTTGTTCCAGCTCTGTGAAAAAAGTGGATGGTATTTTGACAAGGATGGCATTATATGTGTAGATTGTTCTAGGTAGCATAGACATTTTAACAATATCTGTTCTTCCAGTACATGAACATGAAACGTTTTTCCATTTCTTTGTGTCTTCCTCAATTTCTTTTATGAGTGTTCTGTAGTTTTCTGAGTACAGATCCTTTGCTCCTCTGTTGGGTTTGTTCCTAAGTATCTTATGGTTTTTGGCTCAATTGTACATGTGATCGACTCCTTCATTTCTCTTTCTTCGGTCTCATTGTTAGTGTATAGAAATGCAACTGATTTTTTGCATTGATTTTATATCCCGACTCTTTACTGAATTCCTGTATGAGTTCTAGCAATTTTGGGGTGGAGTCTTTTGGGTTTTCCACATAGTGTATCATGTCATCTGAGAAGAATGAGAGTTTGAATCTCTGCCGATTCAGATGCTTTTTCTTTTTGTTGTCTGATTGCTGAGGTTAGGACTTCCAGTTTTAATGAAGAAAGGATGCTATTCTTTGTCAAATGCTTTTCTGCATCTATTGAGAGAATCATATGGTTCTTGTCCTTTCTTTTATTAATGTAGTATATCACATTGATTTATTTGTGGATGTTGAACCACGCTAGCAGCCCAGAATTGGTCATGGCAAATAATCCTTTTAATGTACTGTTGGATCCTATTGGCTAGTATCTTGGTGAGAATTTTTGCATCCGTGTTCGTCAGGGATCCTAGTCTGTTATTCTCTTTTTGTGGGAGTCTTTGTCTGGTTTTGGCATCAAGGTAATGTTGGCCTTATAGGAAAAGTTGCGGGGGGGTCCTTCCATTTTTATTTTTATTAAAACTGCTTCAGAAGCATAGGTATTAATTCTTCTTTAAATGTTTGGAAGAATTCCCCTGGGAAGCCATTCAGCCCTGGGCTCTTATTTGTTGGGAGATTTTTTATTATTCCTTCAATTTCCTTACTGGTTATGGGTCTGTTCAGGTTTTCTATTTCTTCCTGGTTCAGTTTTGGTAGTTTCTATGTCTCTAGGAATGCATCCATTTCTTCCAGATTGTCTAATTTTTGGCATATAGTTGCTCATGATATGTTTTTACAATTGTTTGTATTTCTTTGGTGTTGGTTGTAATCTCTCCTCTTTCATTCATGATTTTAGTTATTTGGGTCCTTTCTCCTTTTTTTTTTTTTTTTTTTTTTTTTAAAACTGGCCAGGGGTTTATCAATCTTATTAGTTCTTTCCAAGAACCAGCTCCTAGTTTTGTTGATCTGTGCCACTGTTCTTTTCGTTTCTATTTCACTGATTTCTGCTCTATTCTTTATTCATTCTCTTCTCCTGCTGGGTATAGGCTTTCTCCAGCTGTTCTTTCTCCAGTTCCTTTAGGTGTAAGATTAGGTTGTATATTTGACACCTTTCTTGTTTCTTGAGAAAGGCTTGTAGTGCTATATACTTCCCTCATAGGACTGTCTTTGCTGCATCCCAAAGGTTTTGAACAGTTGTATTTTCATTTTCATTTGTTTCCATGAATTTCATTCTTCTTTAATTTCCTGGTTGACCAGGAAATTTAGTAGGATGCTCTTTAGCCTCCATGTATTTGAGTTCTTTCCAAATTTCCTCTTGTTGTTGAGTTCAAGTTTCAAGGCATTGTGGTCTGAAAATATGCAGGGAATAATCCCGTCTTTTGCTACTGGTTGAGACCTGATCTGTGACTCAGTATGTGATCTATTCTGGAGAATGTTCCATGTGCACTTGTTTGAGGATGGAATGTTCTGAGTATATCTGTGAAGTCCATCTGGTCCACTCTGTCATCAGTTGATCTTATTTCTTTGTTGATCTTCAGCTTAGGTAATCTGTCCATTGCAGTGAGGGGGTTGTTAAAGTCCCATACTGTTATTGTATTATTATCAATGTGTTTATTTAATTTCCTTATTAATTGGCGTCTATAATTGGCTGCTCCCATGTTAGGGGTATAAATGTTTACAATTGTTAGATCTTCTTGTTGGTTAGACCCTTTTATTATGATATAGTGTCCTTGCTAATCTTTTATTATAGTCTTTGGTTTAAAATCTAATTTTGGTTTGGTTTAAAATTATTTTAACCAAAATCTAATTTTGGTTAAAATCTAATTTGTCTGACACAAGGATTGCTACCCCAGCTTTCTTTTCTTTTCTTTCCATTAGCATGATAAATTGTTTTCCACCCCCTCACTTTCAATCTGGAGGTGTCTTTGGGTCTAAAATGTGTCTCTTGCAGACAGCATATCAATGGGTCTTGCCTTTTTATCCAATCTGATACCCTGTGTCTTTTGATTGATTGGGGCATTTATTTTTTATTTTTTATTATGTTATGTCAGTCACCATACAGTACATCATTAGTTTTTGATGTACAGTTCCATGATTCATTGTTTGTGTATAACACCCAGTGCTCCATGCAATATGTGCCCTCCTTAATACCCATCATTGGGCTAACCCATCCCCCTACCCCTTCCCCTCTAAAACCCTCAGTTTGTTTCCTGGAGTTCATAGTCTCCCCCTCCGATTTCCCCCCCTTCATTTTCCCTTCTTTCTCCTAATGTCCTCCAGGCTATTCCTTATGTTCCACAAATAAGTGAAACCATATGATCACTGACTTTCTCTGCTTGGCTTACTTCACTCAGCATGATTGGGGCATTTAGTCTATTTACACTCAGAGTAACTTTTTTTTTCCCCAAAGATTTTGTTTATTTATTTGAGAGAGAGCATGAGCACAAGCAGGGGGAGAGGCAGAGGGAGAGGGAAAAGCAGGCTTCCCGCTGAGCAGGGAGCCCAATGTGGGGCTCGATCCCAGGGCCCTGGGATCACGACCTGAGCTGAAGACAGATGCTTAACTGACTGAGCCACCCAGGCGCCCCTCAGAGTAACTATTGAAAGATATAAATTGAGTGCCATTGTATTACTTGTAAAGTGACTCTTACTGTATATTGTCTCTGTTCCTTTCTGGTCTATGTTACTTTTGGGCTCTCTAGAGGATCCCCTTTAATATTTCTTGTAGGGCTGTTTTGGCAATCACAAATTCTTTTAGGTTCTGTTTGTCCTGGAAGTTTTTTTTTATCTCTCCTTCTATTTTGGATGACATCCTGGCTGGATAAAGTATTCTTGGCTGCATATTTTTCTCATTTTGCACCCTGAATATATCATGCCAGTCCTTTCTAGCCTGCCAGGTCTCTGTGGATAGGTCGGCTGTCAATCTAATGTTTCTACCCTTGTGAGTTACAGATCTTTTCTCCCGAGCCGCTTTCAGGATTTTCTCTTTGTCTCTGAGATTTGCAAGTTTCACTATTATATTATATTATTGGGGTGTTGACCTATTTAAATTGATTTTGAGGGGGATTCTCTGTGCCTCCTGGATTTTGATGCCTGTTTCCTTCCCAGATTAGGAAAGTTCTCCATTATAATTTGCTCCAGTATACCTTCTGCCCCCCCTTCCTCTTCTTCTGAGATCCCAATTATTCTAATACTGTTTTGCTTTATAGTATCATTTATCTCTCAAATTCTCCCCTCATGATCCAGTAATTGTTTATCTCTCTTTTTCTCAGCTTCTTATTCTCCATCATTTTGTCTTATATATCACTAATTCTCTCTTCGGCCTTATTTATCTTAGCAGTTAGAACCTCCATTTTTGATTGCATCTCATCAATAGCGTTTTTCATTGTGACTTGATTATATTTTAGTTCTTTTATTTCTCCAGAAAGGGACTCTCTACTGTCTTCTATGCTTTTTTCAAGCCCAGCCTGTATCTTTATAATCATTACTTTGAACTCTAGTTCTGATATCTTACTTATATCCATACCGACTAGGTCCCTGGCAACCAGTACTGCCTCTTGTTCTCTTGTTTGAGGTGAGTTTTTCCATCTTTTCATTCTGTCCAAAGAAGAACAGATGGATGGGAGAATAAAATACTAAAATGGCAACAGCAAATACCCCAGAGAAATATACACTAAACAAATCAGAAGAGACCAAAACTGAAAAAAAAAATTAAATTAAAAAAAAAAAGAATATTATCAGACAGGTGAACCAAACAGAGCAATACACTGGATCTTATGTGTATTTTGGTCTGTTCATTAGAAAACTATATCCCAGAATTCTGGCAAGATGGCGGAGGAGTAGGAGACCTGGATTTCGTCTGGTCTCAGGAATTCAGCTGAATAGGGATCAAACCATTCTGAACACCTACGAACTCAACAGGAGATCGAAGATAAGAAGAGTAACAACACTCTGAACAGAAAAGCGACCACTTTCTGGAAGGTAGGACGTGTGGAGAAGTGAATCCGAGGCGATATTCCGGAGGATAGATGGCGGGGGAGGGGGCCTCTGTCAGCCGCTTCTGGCAAGTGATAGAGCCGCGGAGCACAAAATCGGAACTTTTAGAAGTCAGCTCCGCTGAGGGACGTCGCTGCAGTGGCTAAGCGGGGGGTGGAACCCGCGCGGGACAGTGTGCTCTCAGGACCCTTGGGGTCACAGAAAGACCGGGGGTGCCTGAGTGTAGCAGAGCTCCCGGGTATTGGAGCGGGGAGGCCGGCTGCAGATATGGAGCCGAGGCGCGGGCTCTCAGCCCGGGGTTGCCATAAACTGTGATCCGCGGCCCAGTCAGGCCACTGCTCCTCCAGCAGGGACCCAAAAAGCGGCAGATCAAGGGAGACTCCCCTTCCTCCCCTGGGAGGAGCGGCGCGGGAACGCACCGCAGGGATCTGCTGGGTTTGGAGACTCCATACGGGGTCGGGTGCCAGAGATAGAAACGGTTGGTCACAGGCCAGGTGAGCACGGAGTGCAGACGGAGACCGGGGAGATGGGAGCGACTGCTTTTCTTTGGGGGCGCACTGAGGAACGGGGCCGCACTGAGGAACGGGGCCGCGAGTTCTCAGCTCCTCCGGGAGGAGATTGGGAGGCCACCATTTTCACCCTGGTCCTCCAAAGCTGTACCCAGAGCTTGCAGGGAACAAAAGCTCCTGAGAGCAAACCCAAGCAGCTTGCTTAGCCCAGACTCACAAGGGCGGGGCAATTCCACCTCCGGCAAAGACATTTGGGAACCACGGCAACAGGCCCCTCCCCCAGAAGATCAGCACAAACAGCCAGCAAGCCAAGACCAAGTTTACCGCTCAAGGAGAACGGGAGAACTCCAGTACTAGGGGAATACTGCACATAGAACTCATGGCTTTTTTACCATAATTCATTAGTTTTTCAAAGCTAATTTTTTAACTGTTTTTTTTAATTTTTCTTTTTCCCTTTTTCAACCAACATCTTATCAATCCCTTTTTTAAAAAAACATTTTTTTATTTTTCATTTTTAGAGTCATATTTTAATCCCTTCATATTGGTTACCCTCATTTTTGGATATATATATAAGTTGTTCTCTCTTTAAAATTTTGAGATACAGTTTCTTCTAACAGATCAAAATATACCCTAAATCACTAGTGTACGGCTTTCTTCTAGTCTCCTGCCTGATCACATTCTCTCCCTTTTTTTTTCTTTTTTTTCTTTTCTCTTTTTATTTTTTAAATCTTCTTTCTTTTTAAAAACAACTTCTTCTTATCAATTCCTTTTATAAAATCTTTTATAATTTTCATCTTTACAGTCATCTTCCATCCCTTCATTGTATCAACCCTTATTTTGTACATATATAAGTCTTTCTTCCTTTAAAATTTTAGCAGGCACTTTCTTCTAACAGACCAAAATACGCCCAAAATCTAGTGTGTGGCACTGATCTATGCACTAGCCTGATCATATTTTATCATATTCTGTTTCTGTTTTGTTTTGTTTTGTTCTGTTTTTGTTTGTTTTTATCTTTTTCTTTTTCCTTTTTTTTTTCTCTTTCTTCTTTCTTTCCCTTTCTTGTCCCCTGGTTTCAGGTCTTTTCTGATTTGTATAGAGTATATTTGCTGGAGACGTTGTTAACCTGTTAGCATTCTGTTCTCTCATTCATCTATTCTCCTCTGAACAAAATGACAAGACGAAAAAAATCACCTCAGCAAAAAGAACAAGAGGTAGTGCCCTCTGCCAGGGACCTACTCAATACGGACATTAGCACGATGTTGGACCTAGAGTTCAGAATCATGACTTTAAAGATACTAGCTGGGCTTGAAAAAAGTGTGGAAGTTATTAGAGAAACCCTTTCTGGAGAAATAAAAGAACTAAAGTCTGACCACATCGAAATCAAAAAGGCTATTAATGAGGTGCAATCAAAAATGGGGGCACTAACTGCTAGGATAAATGAGGCAGAAGAGAGGATCAGTGATATAGAAGACCAAATGATGGAAAATAAAGAGGCTGAGAAAAAGAGAAACAACTACTGGATCACGAGGGCAGAATTCGAGAGAGAAGTGATACGATAAAACGAAACAACATTAGAATAATTGGGATCCCAGAAGAAGAAGAAAAAGAGAGAGGGGCAGAAGGTATATTGGAGCAAATAATAGCAGAGAACTTCCCTAATGTGGGGAAGGAAACAGGCATCAAAATCGAGGAGGCACAGAGAACCCCTCTCAAAATCAATAAAAATAGGTCAACACCCCGACATCTAATAGTAAAACTAACGAGTCTCAGAGACAAAGAGAATATGCTGAAAGCAGCTCGGGAGAAGAGATATGTAACCTACAATGGTAGAAACATTAGATTGGCAACAGACCTATCCACAGAGACCTGGCAGGCCAGAAAGGACTGGCATGATAGCTTCAGAGCACTAAACGAGAAAAATATGCAGCCAAGAATACTATATCCAGCTAGGCTGTCATTGAAAATAGAAGGACAGATAAAAAGCTTCCAGGACAAACAAAAACTAAAGGAATTTGCAAACACGAAACCAGCCCTACAAGAAATATTGAAAGGGGTCCTCTCAGCAAAAAGAGAGCCTAAAAGCAGCATAGATTAGAAAGGAACACAGACACTTTAGAGTAACAGTCACCTTACAGGCAATACAATGGCACTAAATTCATGCCTTTCAATAGTTACCCTGAATGTAAATGGGCTAAATGCCCCAATCAAAAGACACAGGCTATCAGATTGGATTAAAAAACAAGACCCATCAATATGCTGTCTGCAAGAGACTCATTTTAGACCCAAAGACACCCCCAGATTGAAAGTGAGGGGGTGGAAAACCATTTACCATGCTAATGGACACCAAAAGAAAGCTGGGGTGGCAATCCTTATATCAGACAAATTAGATTTTAAAACAAAGACTGTAATAAGAGATGAAGAAGGACACTATATCCTACTTAAAGGGTCTATCCAACAAGAAGATCTAACAATTGTAAATATCTATGCGCCTAACATGGGAGCAGCCAATTATATAAGGCAATTAATAACAAAATCAAAGAAACACATTAACAACAATACAATAATAGTGGGGGACTTTAACACCCCTCTGACTGAAATGGACAGATCATCTCAGCAAAAGATCAACAAGGAAATAAAGACTTTAAATGAAACACTGGACCAAATGGACTTCACAGATATATTCAGAACATACCATCCCAAAGCAACAGAATACACATTCTTCTCTAGTGCCCATGGAACATTCTCCAGAATTGAGGAGAATTCTCAGAATTCTCCAGAAGTGACACATAGATCAATGGAACCGAATAGGGAGCCCAGAAATGGACCCTCAACTCTATGGTCAACTAATCTTTGACAAAGCAGGAAAGAACGTCCAATGGAAAAAAGACAGTCTCTTCAACAAATGGTGTTGGGAAAATTGGACAGCCACATGCAGAAGAAAGAAACTGGACCATTTCCTTACACCACACACAAAAATAGACTCCAAATGGTTGAAAGACCTAAACGTGAGACAGGAGTCCATCAAAATCCTAAAGGAGAACACAGGCAGCAACCTCTTTGACCTCAGCCTCAGCAAACTCTTCCTAGAAACATCGCCAAAGGCACGGGAAGCCAGGGCAAAAATGAACTGTTGGGACTTCATCAAGATAAAAAGCTTTTGCAGAGCAAAAGAAACAGTCCACAAAACCAAAAGACAACCGACAGAATGGGAGACGATATTTGCAAATGACATATCAGATAAAGGGCTAGTATACAAAATCTATAAAGAACTTATCAAACTCAACACCCAAAGAACAAATAATCCAATCAAGAAATGGGCAGAAGACATGAACATTTTTCCAAAGAAGACATCCAAATGGCCAAGAGACACATGAAAAAGTGCTCAACATCGCTCAGCATCAGGGAAATCCAAATCAAAACCTCAATGAGATACCACCTCACACCCGTCAGAATGGCTAAAATTAACAAGTCAGGAAGCGACAGATGTTGGCGGGGATGCGGAGAAAGGGGAGCCCTCCTACACTGTCGGTGGGAATGCAAGCTGGAGCAACCACTCTGGAAAACAGTATGGAGGTTCCTCAAACAGTTGAAAATAGAGCTACCATACGATCCAGCAATGGCACTACTGGGTATTTACCCCAAAGATACAAATGTAGGGATCCGAAGGGGTACGTGCACCCCAATGTTTATAGCAGCAATGTCCACAATAGCCAAACCGTGGAAAGAGCCAAGATGTCCATCGACAGATGAATGGATAAAGAAGAAGTGGTATATATACACAATGGAATATTATGCAGTCATCAAAAGGAATGAGATCTTGCCATTTGCAACGACGTGGTTGGAACTGGAGGGTGTTATGCTGAGTGAAATAAGTCAATCAGAGAAAAACATGTATCATATGACCTCACTAATATGGGGAATTCTTAATCTCAGGAAACAAACTGAGGGTTGCTGGAGTGGTGGGGGGTGGGAGGGATGGGGTGGCTGGGTGATAGACATTGGGGAGGGTATGTGCTATG